GATGTAAACCTCACTGCAATGGCAAAACAAAATCAATTTTTGATGAGCATAAACAAGGTCTGAGTCTGACAATTGGATATATAGGAAATCATTGGAGTGCATTTGTAGTTTGAGGTACAGAAACCATAAGGTCTGTCTTACCATTGCTCCATCCTGAAAGATAGAATTATTTGTAACTGGGTCTTTCTGGATTGTATGAGCAAGACCAATAGCACTACTCCTACATCTAGTGGTAGACTCCTGTTCAAGTAATGGCTGTAACGATGATAATACGCTTCATAAGCTCCACCAGGATCTCAGATCAAGCATATGTGTCTCCTCTGATATGTAAATTTGCATACAGTCAATACTAAGATGTGAACATTTCATATTAGCTACAACATCTGGTTGCATACAGTGCTTACCAAAAACATCACTGATGGCTCAAAAGGGGCACTGAAGTATATGAGCATGTCTCCTCTGATCTGTACATTTGCGTTATACATTCAATACTGAGATGCAAGCAATTCATATTAGCTACAACATCTGGTCGTATACAATGCTTACCAAAAACATCATGGTATATCCGATGGCTAAAAGGGGCACTGAATATGTGTGATCCAACACTAATTGTCTTGGTGACTTTGGCGGGCTATATCAATATGTTGGAAAGCAGTGTGTCTTTGGGAATCGAAATCATTGCTAATCCAAATCGACTCACACAATAACCAATTTCTGAGAAATCAGATCTTGTGAAACTTGCAGATTTCGCTCCAAAGAATCATGTAACTTGCATAGGGAACTTTGCAAAATCTGTCAGGTGCATCAATGTTTAGCATGTAAACCTTTTAACAGGAAGTTAGAGCGAGCTGGACATTTTGTCGAACACATTGAAGGGAGTGGTGGAGGCAACGCTAGCTAAGGACATTGCAGCCGTTGATGGACAGCACAGAGGCTGTAGGCTGTGTGCTGTGGCTGGAGCTACATCTCGCTCTCCGGCATCACGTCGTGGTCTCGAGGTGAGCATGGAGTACCCAGCGTGGCCGCATGGACTCGCCGACGGTCATATGACACAGCAAAACTAACGTCCTTTCACCTACACGGTGCCTATATTTGCTCTCATCTCTCCAGTCTGGTCCATCACCAAATCAGTAAATCACCATCAAAATGAAGAAAAATATGTCGCGGGAGAGTAGTAGAAAGAGAGCAAAAACAATAGCACACAAGCGACGCCGACGCTCTCCTAGTCCTTCTCCAGTGCGTTAGACGGGCGTCGATCTCGATCCACGCCAGCTCTCCCCAAGTATGGGAGACTATGGCATGGACGACATTGATATTGATGGTCTTGAAGGCAATGAGGAGGACGAGCAACCTGGAAATTGTTCGATCCCGATGGATACAACGCCAAGCAATTTCTCCATCCCGGAGACTCCGGCCACCGGCAACGGCAACGACTGTGCTGGGCCATCCAGGAGCGGGGGCGCAGCATGCTGGAAACATTTCGACAAGATCTATGATGGTAATAAGGTTTTAGTTTCTGCAACTTGTAAATATTGCAAGAAAGACTTTTCTGCAGGATCGCGTGGTGGTACTGGGCATCTTAATCGGCATTACGTGGCATGCTTGAAAAAGTATGCCATGAAAGAACAAGGTGGAAGAGTGCAAACTCAGTTGAACATCAAGGCAGATGGCTCTGTAAGTACTTGGGTCTATGATCCTGAAGTTGCTCGCCAGGAAATTGCAAGGTATATAACTGTGGAAGATCTACCCATTAGGATGGGTGAAAGTCCAGCTTTTGAAAGAATGATCCAGCGTGCATTTTGTCCACAGTATTGAGTACTCTAACGTATCCAGGAAAACCACCAAGAAAGATATAGTCAAGTCTTACAGTGAAAAGTTGGATGCTCTAAGACAGAGTCTTAGTGCTGTAACCTTTTCTATTGCTTTGACATCAGACATCTGGACGTCTTCACATCAGAGAACATCTTATCTCAGTGTAGTTGCCCATTACATAGACAACAAGTACAGGCTAAACAAAAGAGTTATAGGATTCAAGGGCATCGATGAGTCCCATACTGGAGATGCCATTGCCTCACAAATTATGGAGGTTATTCAGGAATATGGGATAGCAAATAAGGTTGTTTCTATTACATTGGACAATGCATCTGCCAACACATCAGCCATGAAAACTCTGGAACCATATATACAGAGCTACATTGGTGGATATGTTCTCCATCAAAGATGTGTGTGTCACATAATCAACCTCATAGTGCAAGCAGGTATGTCCCAGGTAAGTCAATATTTGAGAAATATTCGTACTTCTATTCGCTTTCTTTCGACTTCTCCACTTGCTTACAGCAAATTCAAAGACTACTGCAAGGTTAGAGGTAAGAAACCAAGAAAATTTGGCCTCGACATGAAGGTGAGGTGGAACTCCACATACCATATGTTAAAGCAGGTAAAAGGGTATGAGAATATTTTTACTACTTTTACTAATGCTCAAGATATAGGTGTTGTGCTTACTAACACAGATTGGAAAGTAGTCTCGAGGTTTCGTGATTTCCTTGAACCATTCTACAACGCCACGATGCAATTGTCTGGTATTTACTATCCTACCTCTCCTCTAGTTATTGAATGGCTTATGAAAATTGTTGAAACTTTTGAAGAAAATAGTACAGATGAAATACTAGCTCCGATTGTTGCTGCAATGAAAGAAAAATACATGAAATATTTCGATGCTGTTCCACATCTGTACTGTTTTGCTCTTGTATTTGATCCACGCAAGAAGCTAGATGGTTTAAATATTGCCTTCCGTTTCATTGGTGACGCACTTGATCTTGATTACTCAGCTGCTTACTCACATGTTAAATCCGAGATATTTCGAGTTTTTGGTATGTATCAGGATAAGTTTGGTCAGACTCGTCCAAGGTCAGAGGCACCACAAAATGAGAAGCTCAAAAGTAATACAAAAGCTAACATGTGGAAGAAGCTAAAGAGCAAGGACTCTTCTTCCTCATCACAGACGGCAAGATCATCTTGGAATCCCAAGGCAGAGCTCAATCACTACCTTGAAATGGATCACGTCACCCATGATCCACGGCTCCATGAGGATGATGAAGATGTCGACCTGCTTGGATGGTGGAGGGACAATGAACGCCAGTTCCCTGTTCTCTCAGTTCGCACGTGATGTTCTTCTAGTTCCAGTATCCACCGTCTCTTCTGAATCAACCTTCAGCACAGTTGGAAGAATAATTGAAGAATGGAGGTCCCAGCTCTAGTCCGAACATCCGATCCGGAGAGCCAGGATCGGACGGTACCCGCTTAGCGCCAAGCATGTCGTGCTTGCAAGCGAGTGCTTCAACTGTGGACCTGCGGCGTCAGCTTTCCTACGCGCATCTCATATGCAACAACTATCTACTACTTACGAAACATCCAGATGTAATAGCTGCAGCATAGAAAAAGAAGACAAATAAAACATTTAAAACATGTGTCTGAAACATTTGCAAAAACACATGGAAAACACTTGAAAACCATTGCAAACATATGTAACATCCAGATAAAAACACTTGCAATAGACGTATGAAACTACTGAAACACTTAAAACATACGCTTTCAATATACATGTATATGCAACATCCAAATGAAAACACTTGCAACGTACGTCTGATACAAAAATATTTGGAATATACACTTGAAACATACGTGCATAGCCATTACAATGTGTGTAATATCCCGATCTATTTTTACAACGTCCAATCTAATTTTGCAACACCGATACGAACACTTGTAACATAGCTCTGAAACACTTGAAACAAATAGTTGCAACATGCGCTTTCAGCGCAAACATCTCCTTGCTGCTTCGGCGAATGGAGGCTCGTCGGCGCGTGGAGATCATCGGTGTGCTCGCTGACGGCGCAGAGCTCGATGGCAACGCGAAGCTGGGCGGCGGCATACAAAGGGCGAGGTGGGGGCGGCACGGGCAACGGTGGCGCAGAGAGCCGGTGAGCAGCACATGAAGGTCACCGGTGTGCTCACCAGCGGCGCGGAGCTCAGTGGTGCAGAGGGCGGGGTGGGGACGGCGCGTTGAAGGCGCAATAGGTGGAGTGGGGAGTCGCGGGGTTGGTGGGAGGAAACGGAGGTTGGTGGTGATCAACTAGGAGCAAAGCACGACGGCGAGGAAGGCATGAGCGTGGATGCAGCGGCGCAGTGAGCGAGCAGGGAAAGGAGGAAGGTGGGTACGCACGACGATGTAAGGATGCAGCGATGCAGTGGCACAGCGAGCGAGCCCTTGCAATAGAGAATGAGCGAGTCGTGTGGGCCCAACAACCCTGGATCAATGATGATCCTGTTGCTTCTAGGCGCCCTACTACGTGCCCAATTAACAATAGAATATAATAATTGGAAGAATATTAGAAGTTGAATGACTCTCTTCACTTTGACTCGAAACCAAACACTATTAGAAGTTGGATTGCTCAGTTCATGAGCCAAATACATCTTAGGATCTGTTCAGTTAACCCTCTCCAACTTTCAAATTGGACACTAACCGAACAAGTCCTTGAGTAGATAAATGAGATTTGGTCTACAAAGTCGGAATTCACATTACAATACTTGTATTTTTGGAGTGTTGCCACCATCCGAACAGTCCTTTTCAAACTTACTTTTGTCTGAATTGGCCGGTTTATTTTTCATTTTCAGTCACTGTTCCATTCGAGCTGGTTTCCATACCAATACCAACCACCCGATCCGAGACGGCCTGGAGCCTGATGATTCTGGGAATCTGAGATCGAAGCATCCACCTCGTGATCCACAGTACCATCGTGTTTGTTTACGCCAGGCGCGAGTGCGCGTGCCCACGAGCCACGATCCTCCCAATCTCACCTAATGATTTTCTCGGTTCGCGCGACTCTCAAAGTCTCACCCGTATAAAGCGGTCCGTCGCCCAGAAGCAAACCAAGAAGCAGAGCAAAGTACTACTGCTGGTACTGGTACCCACCGCAGCCGCACCTACCACTACCAAGAAGATGGCCAGCGGCGGCGTGGTGAAGCACATCCTGCTGGCACGCTTCAAGGAGGACGTGACGCAGGAGCGCCTGGACGAGCTCATCCGCGGATACGCCGCGCTCGTCGCCGCCGTCCCCTCCATGAAAGCCTTCCACTGGTAATTTCTTCCCTCGATTGCTAGTCCTTAATAGGACTCGATTCCGTGCCGACTGGTGGTGGGTATGCCTGCCTCAGCCTGTGCGGCTCACCCACCACCAGGACCCTGGCGCACCTCAGGTGCTCGACGAATAAGATGCCCGGTTTAGTTCAGTTTTGTTTGAGAGTTGAGACTCTCCCCGTGCGCCATCGCTGTCGCTGATTGTGAATTCTTGATTGTTAGCCGTGTGATTTTGCTTTTGCTCTCTTGGATCCAGAGATCCAGTGCCGTAGTAATAATATAGTCAGAACTATTAGGTACCTAGTCCCTCTATTTCTTTTGTGTTGCTTGTATGTTGACAATCTTAGGGAAGTCAGGGCACCGAAAGAATCCTACGAGACCAAAGCATTCCCAGTGCTGTTATAACTTTGTTTCCAAACCTTAGGAAAACTGTGCATTGTAATTTTCTTAGGGCACTCCCAACCCATGTTCATTAATTAGAGTGTCAACTAAGCAAAATGATGATGTGACATTGGAATTAAAAAAGAGAGATGATGAAATGGTTTCTTAGATAAGAAACTATGTCTACATGGGAACCAAGATATAAAGAGATGTGATGGGTAGATAATTGAGAGAGAAGACATGTGGTTGGACATTTTTTTTTTGAAGAAACTACCCATTGAAAATATGGTGTCTATGTGTAGTCTATATGGTTTGACAAATATAGAAACTACTTGTAGTTTCTAGCATTGAACTGCCCTTAGAGTAATTTAGTTCCACCTTCCATTAGGTTGCACTGTTGACATTGGTGCCCCCTTGTATCAGAATAGAAGGCATACAATGCTTGCTCCAAAATATGAGGCATACACACAAATAGTTCATAATCTGTTTGCTTTTTAACCTTCATTGTTTTCCATCTCACTTGATTAGATTAAATAAGCATGCTAACTATTCTCCAAGACATTATCCCTTCATGCCAATTATGAGCATTACAATTCTTGCAACATGGATTATGCTATCTTGTTGGAGATATCTGGCTTCAGATGCTCGAGACTTCATGACATCTTGTTTGTGAATAAATGTGTACATGGGACTCAAATGATTTATATGTCATTGAATTGGTAACTTTACTAGAATCACTTAAACTGGTTCTTTTACAAAACTGTATGTTCTCGAGCGTATCAATTTGTCAAATCTTAGCAATCACCAGTGTGTCCATTTCTCACATCCTAGCAATTTTGAGCGCATCCTTGCAATCGTGTCATGTGGGACAGTCAAAAGGTCTTAGTAGCTCTCTCATTTATTTGATGCAAGGTTACTGTGTTATTTCAAAGTATCAGATTCCTCATGTGCTCTTTACTTTGTAGGGGAACTGATGTGAGCATAGAAAACCTGCATCAAGGGTTCACGCACGTCTTTGAGTCTACATTTGAAAGCACGGAAGGAATCAAGGAGTACATTGAGCACCCTGCACATGTTGAATTCGCAAATGTGTTCTTGCCTGTATTGGACAAGGTCATCGTGATCGACTATAAGCCAACTTCGGTCAACTAGTGGTGGACCCTGAAGAACCAGGCGGAGCTTTTTCGCAGTTCTCATTATCTATAATAATCCTCTGTACTGTTCGTCAGAGGACTCCATTTGACTCTACACTTTATGCTGAATAAACTTTGTTCTGCTTTGTTCCTTGTTAAGGATGAAACTTTGAGTTTTCTGTAACTGCACTTGTTGTAACTTCGCATGTTTCTTATTCCTATATATATCGGAATTACGTTCCTAAAGACAGCTTATTTTCATATACCCTGCCATAGGCCTGCTGAACTGACAAGGATGGCGGCGATGGGTTCTCGATGCCAGCTCAGGCGCCTCGAGCTGGGAGTGGCCTGCCGCTGCCCGCTGCGACGGGTTGTGGGCAGCTGCACCGGCGAGGTACAGGGAAGCACGACGACGTTCGCTGTGGCTAGCGCGAGGTCGCAACAGGGAGCGGCTAGAGAGAGAGGCCGTGGCACTGTGGGTAGTACAGGCGGACATCCTGCGACGCGGAGGCGGTCCTCGGCGAGCACAATTCACCGTGGCATTCGGCGTCTCCGAGAACAACCTCGACGTCACGGGCATGGCAGCTTGCCTATTAATCAACCTAACGAAAAAGGATGTGGTGCAGAGGCTGGTAACAAGCAGACGAGGACGCAGTCGTGTCCATGAGCGCACTGAGCCGGTCGTCCACACGGATGATGCCATGAAGTTGATGAGTTCTTCTTTCGCAATTCATCGAGCACATCCCACGCAGTCCATGCCATGAGGTGGCTTGAATTGCAAGTGGAGATGATTGGTGGTGCTCTGGTTGCCACTTGGAAGGTGGAAGCAGCAGACTGCTTGAATTTGGAGGATTGGACGCTGGGTTGTTGCTTGCTTGCTTGAGAAAGAGGAAGTAGGTGGTGGATGGCGTGAGAGAAAAACTGAAAAAGGAGGATTTGACGGTCCCTGCTCCCCGAAAATTAGCTATTCTTCTTCACGTAGGTGCAATAGTTATTCTTTGTTAGTGTACTCGTAAATATATCTGTTTTCCATCATATAAGCGTGATAGTTTAATTTCTCAGGTCAAATCTGACATACTTGGCCAGTTGGCCTAGCCAGGTTGCAAAGCAGGCTAGTGAGTTTCCCATGCAGCACCTACGAAGTGCTGTTTTGATATACGTGCGCTTTAGCACTTCTAGTGTGGCACAATCTTTACATGAACGTTTATCATCTAGAAGAATACTAAAATTTAAAAGTATATAAAGCATAGAATCGTGGAGTTTGACTAATCTGTATTTTGAATTTTGGAAAACCACTAGTGCATAAAATATTTTCACAGGCAGGGAGGACCAAACATCATTGTTAATCGCTAGTTACAGAGGCGGCCAGAATTCAGGCCTATGAAAATCGATTAACAAACAATTAACGAAGGCAAGTAGCTTTGTTAATGGTTTCTAGAAAATAAAAAATTATGTCCTTCCCAGAACTAGAACTAGTGGCTAACTTTGCACTAACATGTCCTTGCTACTGTACCACACAATCACTTATGAATATATATTCTATCATTTTTACAATTTTGTAATCTTGTATTGAATATTTTGACTACTAAATGAACTCAAATATAAAAAAAAGTTCGAACTGCAAAGTTTTAAAATTTTTCAAGCACTATAACTTCAAAGATTGTTTGAAAAAAATAAAAAACTTCAATCTCAAAATATATGATTTTAAAACAAATACTTGAGACACTAAACAACTTCATTATCAACATAAAAAATGTAGATCAGGTTGGTCACTACAACTTTAGTATTAACTATGTGAACATTCAAAGTTATTTATAAAATGTAATTTTTGAATTTCAAAGTCTATGAACTCAGAACACATATTTGGGAGTCTAAACGATTTCAAATCAAAACATTTTTAACTACAAAGTTGTAGATTGTATTGAGAACTACAACTTTGGTATAGATCCCGTCAACAATATATGTTGTTCAAAAATTTTAAAATTTTAATTTCATAATCCATGAACTTAAAATAATATTTTAGACTCTAAACAGTTTCAAATAAAAAACTTGTCAATACAAAGTTGTAAATTACGTCGAGAACTACAATTTTTGTATAAAGTTTGTCTCTTCATCTGAGTTTCTATGTAAAAGTTCTGCCACTAAAAATTAATTTACAAAACTAAGACAACCTCTTCTGTTCGATGAATTTTAGAGATGGGACCCGTCATCTTAGGACATTCGTCTCCGTAGAGAAACTTCAAAAGTCTCTTTATATTATTCATAATTTATAGAAATAGAAATTTTGGTGAAAAATTACCTTTCTGCAGCCAATTTAATTGGATCTTCAAATATAGACATCCTCTATTTTGGATTTCTCGCTAGCTAAAGATGGATGACGAGGAATTTTTACTCAAATAGCTTTTATAGCGAGTAAATTTTAGAAAAAAAAATTCTTGAAGATGCTCTAAATGATTTTTGAGAGGAGCATTTTTCTGAACGCCCGCTCTAAAATCATTTTTCAGCCTGAACAAACAGGCGGTGCGTTTAGATCGAGGTGAGTACTTCGAGACGAGAATTTTATGCATGACGTATTTTATTTTGCAAAATTCAAACTTCAGAAAACTTATTTTCTTTGCCTCTAAATCGCGCATTCCAGGCCGGAACCACCGAACAAGATGAAGTAGAGCCGCGCCCACGCAGAAAGGCCAGTGTCACGTGCCGGTGCCGCCTCGTCTCCCTCCGACCGCTTCTGCCGAAAAGCACCGCCGTGTCCATGTAGTAGCACTGGAACCTCCTCGACGCCGACACTGCCCCCAGCCCCTGCACCGTGTCGAGCCGCGCGATCGACACCGGACCGTCCCATGCGCCATCACCGCCGAAAACGTACGCAGGCGGCTGCCGCCATTTAAAGAACCGCATGCGTGTTTGTGGCCGTCACTCGATCACGCATGTGATGCGCGTGGCATCAGGCAGTTGATGATATCGTAAAAGATTCATCGGTCGTCGGTCCTTGATTCTTCGAGCGCGACACGCCGACACCATGTTTCCTCCGGCCGGGATTCTGGGGGACGCGACGAGATGGACGGCAAGCATGGGTGGTACAGCGGCAGGTGCCGGCCGCCGGCGATCAACGACGTGCAGGAACTCAAGGACAGCTTTGGAGGCAAGGAGGCCACGGCGCCGTGGTCCGACCTGTGGACCGGCGGCCTCGTCTGCGCCTTCGAGTTCGTTCGCCGTCGCGGCCACGGCTTCGTCAGCCCGCACGACCTCTCCCGCAGCAACTCCTCGAAATCCAAGGACCTTCCGGTCATCACGGATTCCGGTACAGAATAATATTTTTGTAATCGTCAGGTTTCTTGATCGGTAGTAATAATATTTTTTTGTAATCGTCAGGTTCTTCCACCGACGGCGACGAGCCGAGGCCAGCGTGCAGGCACGGGAGGGCGGCGCCGGCCGAGAGCTACTGGTCTCCCATCGGCTGGGCGAGGATCACGAAGCTGGTGGCGATGGTCGACGGGGACGACACGGCGTGGCACGACGAGCAGGGGATCAGCAGCCTCACGGACGCCGATGCCGACGGCCAGCACTGCTGCGGCGATAGCGACATCACCGTCGCCGACGTCGCCGTGCCGTACTGGCAGCGACCGACGAGTCCGACCTGGTGGTGCCACGTCGCAGCGGGGCACCCGGCCGTGGACGCGTGGCTGGCTACCAGCGCGCGGTGGCTGCACCCGGCAATCTGCGTTGCTCTCAGGAATGAGACCATGATCATCAGTGAGAAGATGAAGCATCTGCTCTATGAGGTACTAAGTGATTTCAGTTACTCTTACTAAGAGCGCAAAGGGCATGACGAAATTTCATAGTACAATGCTAAATTCGAAGGGTTTCAAATGGTTTTTTTTTTGGCAGAACATAGTGGACTCTTCACATTGTTTGCATTCCACTATTTTAGTTTAGCTTAAATTAGATAAATGGTTTTGTACGGATTTAGTTTGTGCATGCTTGTAACCTGTCTTTATAATTTGATACGTGAATTAGTTTATGAGTTGCATACTCAGAATTGTTAGTTATTGGCTGCTTGCGAAGCCTTCCAACTGTTCTGAACATACCACATGCATTTTCCTGACTGCAAGCTACTAATCATCCTATCCTACTTTAATTCCTTTGGCATTGGTATATGTTATTTCTCCAGGTCCCTGTTAGAGTTTCAGGAGGCTTGCTTTTCGAGCTATTAGGTCAATCCGTAGGCGATCCGACTCGTGATGAAGACGACATTCCTGTTGTGATCCGTGCTTGGCGAGCTCAAAATTTCCTGATAACAGCTCTCCATGTGAAGGCTCAGCACCAAACGTCAACGTTATAGGAGTTACAGAGGTCCAGGTAATGACCATCACTCCATCAACATCAATCAACAATCACGCTGAAGAGATCACCTTTGTTTCCTAACCATTTTTTTCCCTCGCACAAATATTATAGGCACAGTACATTTTTAACCTCTAAGTTACACCTCAGTCTGATTAAACCCGGTAATGGCCAACCACCAACTGTCGAACCGGTCCTAGGACTGGTTCCATATATTGTTTTCTGTTTCCTATAATAATAAAAAATCTAGTTTGGTCTCTACAAATTCACAATTGATTTATTTTCAATCAGGAAAAATATGAAACTAGTACCAATTATCTTTCTAGAAATGTCATCTAAATGTTTATGATCTGTATATAGTTATTTGGAACTAGATTATTTTCTGTTCTGTTTCTTGTAGTCGTGCTCATTATTTAAAGCAGGTAAGATTGAAATAACTATTAAGTAGAGCACCAAGAAATATATACCATTTTAAGAAGGAAACCGGAACTAGTTTGATATCTTTTTGATTTAAAATAAATTAATCATGAATTTTTATAGATCAAACTAGATTTTTATTTTTTTAGAAAATAGAAAATCATCTTTGGAACTCTGACAAAACCTGCCATGGACCAAATTTGTCCAATTTTGACATTTGAAGGATGTCCATTATCCTTTTTCATAGTTCAGAGTTAGAAATTGGAGTTAGAAATTGAATTGACGTGCAACGAGGTTGTCAAATATTTCTTCTATTTTTTTGTTCGGGAGCTTCTTTCTACCTGTGGAAGCACAGTGCCCAAGAGTATTCATGAAGTTATAGCACATTTGGCTTCCCGACTTGCTCGATGGGACGACAGGTGAATTTAATGGTGCTATTTACATAAGCTAATATGCATAAATAAACTCTAATTTTGTATCGTTGGTACTTAAACTTTGTGTTTGAGGCATTATTTTTACATATGTAGACTATGGTGCAAATACGTATTTGGTGCAGCTGATGAAATTGAACTTAAATTTGTAAACAGGTAAGCTACACTATGCCATGCTTAAATTTTGCTAAATTGGTTTTTCTCTGTACCTAGAACTAGAACTCTATATGGGCATTCTCAGGCGAAACGAAGAAGACCTGAACCTGCTATGTATAATCTTCAACCAAGACATTAGAAGGTTGGCCACCCAGGTATGTATGTTTTTATTCAAAAGGAAGATTTACTGCACTTTTTATTAGAAGGACTAAAATTAAAATAAATGCTGGACTAGTACATTTTTAGTGAAAATCGTGCCCAAAAAATGACTCAACTAGAGGGGGTGCGTTCGCACCATCCTCACAACTTTAGTGCAATGACCAACCAACTAACCTCTCAACTCCACTATTCGCTCGAAAACAACTTGGTTGAACAGAACACAACTAACAACTCAACTAACAGCTCGACTGAACAAATCAGCCCACGGTTTCTAGCGAGGAAAACCCAAGAAAACCCCTTCACGAGCACTAGCACAACTAAACGACTCTGTAACAACAGCATCTAACTCTGCATGCAAATTGCCAAATATAAATATATAATTTTAACACTTCCACAATATACTAAATTACTAGGTTATCAGAGTGAAATGGTCACTGCATGCTAGAGAGGAGATTTGAACTCCTAAAGTATCTAGGGGGAAGCACCACACAATCCTTGCTTGAGGATATAAAGAAAGACGCAAGGAAAATGATCGAAGAGCAAGAGGCTGTCCGCGGTCGGCTGTTCACCATTCAGGATGTGATGCAGAGCACTGTCCGTGCTTGGTTGCAGGTAAGCACATGCTACACTACAATTTCTGTTGTGGTGGAAAGGGATTCTGAACCCAAGAATTTCTCTGTGCCTAGTACATCCTACTGATACTGGATAACTGAAATATCGATTATGTAACCTGAACGCTATCGTTTTTGGTATTTTCAGGACAAAAGCCTTCGCATTACACATAACCTGACAATATTCGGTGGGTGCGGCCTCATTCTGTCCATCATCACAGGACTGTTTGGTATCAATGTCGACGGGATACCTGGAGCCAAGAACACTCAATATGCTTTTGCATTGTTCTCTGGTCTTCTGTTCTTAGTAGGTCTCCTGTTGATCGTCGCCGGGAATATCTATTTTGGGCTGAAAAATCCGATCAGCGATCAGCAGGTTCAGGTGAGAAAATTGGAGCTCCAGCAGCTAGTCTCAATGTTCCAGCACGACGCCGAGACACATGCCAAGGTTAGGGAAGGGGTCTTAATAAGGAACGACTTGCCTCCGAGAGCCGCTGATCTCATATATGACCAAGGTGATTACTATTTCAATGATTCACCAATGGAAGTTAGAATTCATTGTTCATGAAAAGGTTTTACTATGGGTATACTGAACAAATTGCCTAGTTGTCAAAGTGTTATACTACATATAAGCACACAATATAATAACTATGCACAATGTTGGTAGCATCTTCAGGATCCATTTTATTTGCACTTTTTAAAAACAAAATCGGGCAAGAAAGTACTTTTGTTAGGAATAAATGAAAAAAAAAATGTATAATACTACTATGTCCAGAACGAACTATTCCTTTTTTTTCTGAATGATTGACTGCATCCAGCTATGTAAAATGATCTGGAAGTTGACGCTAGAAACTTTGGCATTTAATTTGTCAGTTAAGAAACTGGGAAGATACCGGTACAATCTCTGACCCAAGCTCCCTTCACAAATACTGGTACACCCTGCAGTACATACGAATATGTATGTCTACGGTACACGCACGCAAGCGTGCCGTCGCTCACTTGCCGGGGACGAAGTTGGTGGCGTACGCCCAGGCGTTGTTGTTGACAGGGTCGGCGAGGTGAGGGTCAGCGAGGTTCTCGAGAGGACCCTTGCCGGTGACGTTCGCCTGCACGAAGAAGCCGAACATGGAGAACATAGCGAGGCGGCCGTTCTTGATCTCCTTCACCTTCAGCTCCGCGAACGCCTCCGGGTCGTCGGCGAGCCCGAGCGGGTCGAAGCTGCCGCCAGGGTACAGCGGGTCGACCACCTCCCCGAGCGGGCCACCGGCGATGCGGTACCCCTCGACGGCGCCCATGAGCACCACCTGGCACGCCCAGATGGCCAGGATGCTCTGCGCTGTTATAAACGACAAAGAACGACAACACGAGATTTTAACGTGAAAAACCCTCCCAAAATGAAAAGGAAAAAACCATAGACAACAGCCAACAAATCTTTACTATATTGGGTGAGATTACAAACGCCGGATATTTACAATTTGGAGATACCCTAACCTAGGGGTCTTCCCGTATACAAGTCTATGATGCATATGAGGGAGATGGTCCGTATATATAGAGAGGAAAAACCCCCACACCCTCGTCTATTAGTAATACGGAACTAATAGATGGTGTAGTCCCTCTTAACGCTAATGGGCTGTTTCACTTCGGCCCAAGCTTGAATTTAGATCATGGCTCAACAAACTCCACCTGGAGACAAATTCCTTCTTGTAGCATAAAACGAACCTTCACCCTGAAACAACAAAGAAATACTTTCGGTGCCAAATAACCTCTTGGACTAAACAGTTATACCAACTAAACTTGAGCAAAGCTCAAACTTAGCAACAGGAACTGACTTTGTGAACATATCAACAGGATTATCATGAGTGCTTATCTTGCATATCTCCAGCTTACCTTGCGCGACCACATCTCGAACATAATGGTATTTGACATCAATGTGCTTCGTTCTCTCATGAAATATCTGATCTTTAGTGAGACATATAGCACTTTGACTGTCACAAAATAAATTAATGCAAGAATCATCTCCACAAAGCTCAGCAAACAAACCTTTCAACCAAACTGATTCTTTATATGCTTCAGCAATAGCCATGTATTCTGTTTCAGTGGTAGATAGGGCAACAACGGGCTGCAATGTTGCCTTCCAACTCACAGCACAACCATCAATAGTGAACACATAACCTGTGAGAGATCTTCTCTTATCCAAATCAGTAGCAAAATCTGAATCCATGTAGCCAGTGAGTCCCTTATCAATCCTGCCAAACTTCAAACAGGTATTTGTTGTGACACGAAGGTACCTAAAAATCCACTGAACAGCCTTTCAATGCTCTTTACCAGGATTAGCCATGTATCTACTAACCAAACTCATAGCATATGATAAATTAGGACAAGAGCAAACCATAGCATACATCAAAGAACCAACATCACTAGAATATGGAACTCTTGACATGTACTCAAAATTCTCATCCATACTAGCACATTGTAAAGCTGATAATTTAAAATGAGGAGCAATAGGAGTACTAACAGACTTTGCATCATGCATGTTGAAATGATGAAGAACTTTCTTAATGTAACTTTGCTGACTAAGAAATAACAAACCAGAATTTATGTCTCTTGTAATTTCCATACCTAGAATCTTCTTAGCAGCACCAAGATCCTTCATCTCAAACTCACTACTCAACAGTTTCTTCAACGTAGTGATTTCTTTCTTGCTCTTGGCAGCAATCAACATATCATCAATGTATAACAGCAAGTATACAGGTGATCCATCAATAAATTTAATATACACACAGCTATCAAATTCAGACCTCTTAAAACCATGTGACATCATAAAAGAATCGAACCTTTTATACCATTGACGAGGAGACTGTTTCAAACCATATAAGGACCTCTTTAATTTGCAAACATGATCCTCCTTACCAGGTACTATGAACCCTTCTGGCTGGTCCATGTATATCTCATCCTCGAGCTCTCCATGTAGAAACACAGTCTTTACATTTAACTGCTCAAGCTCAAGATCTCGCATAGCAACAATACCAAAAAAATATACGAATTGAACTATGCTTTACAACTGGAGATAACACATCATTATAATCAACACCAGAAATCTAACTGAAACCTTTTGCTCTAACCTTACCTTAAATCTTAGAGGCTCACTAGGAGACAAACCCTCATTTCTCTTGAAGATCCATTTGCAACGAACGGCCTTCTTATGTTTAGGCAAGCGCACAACATCCCATGTGCCATTTTCCTCAAGTGACTGCATCTCTTATTGCATAGCGGAAATCTACTTCCCGTGGTCACCAGAAACAACAGCTTCAGTGTACGTAGCCGGCTCATGAATGTTCTCAACCTGTTCAGCACAACTAAAGGCATAATGAACAATATCACATTTCTCAATTAAATGTGGACGAGGTCCACAACTCCTCTTTGTTCTGCGATCTACAATAGACTAATTTTGAGGCTGCAAAATAGGAGGTGAGTGCTGAACAATATCATGAACATTGTTATCAACAATTTCAGTTTTCTGATCATCTACGTGCTCCACCTGCACGCTAACATGTTCCTGCTCCTCATGAGAACCAACTGGTGAAACATCTGTGGACAAGCTGTCGTTAAACATAACAGATTCATTGAAAACAACGCTCCTGCTCATGAAAGTCTTTTTAGTTTTAGGATTCCATAACTTATATCCTTTAACTCCAGAACCATAACAAAAAAACAGACACTTAATGGCTCTAGGTTCTAGCTTTCCATTATCAACATGAGCATAAGCAGTGCAACCGAAAACTCTCAACTATGAATAATCAGCAGGCATACCAGACTATACCTCAATGGGAGTTTTCTTATTAAGTGGAATAGAAGGTGACCGGTTGATCAAGTAATAGGCGGTGTTAGCAGCCTCAGCCCAAAAACGCCTGTTCATACGAGCATTGGACAGCATACAACGAGCCCTCGAGATGATGGTTTGGTTCATGCGCTCAGCCACACCATTCTGCTGAGGAGTGTACGGGATGGTGTGGTGCCTGACAATGCCTTCTTCCCTGCAGTAATCATTAAAAGCATCCAAACAAAATTCACCGCCATTGTCAGTATGAAGCAATTTTACCTTCCTTTCAGTTTGCCTTTCTATCATAACTTTCCACTCTTTAAAAGCAGCAAAAGTATCATCTTTATTTTTTAGAAAGTAAGGCCACACTTTTCTATAGTAATCATCAATAATGGTAAGCATATAATGAGCACCACCATAAGAGGGCTTACGAGACGGCCTCCACAAATCAGTATGTACATAATCAAGTGTACCTTTGGTGGTATGAACAGATGCATTGAATTTTACTCTCTTGTGCTTACCAAAAACACAGTGCTCACAGAACTTCATCTTACCCACAGTGCAGCCATCCAACAGGTCTCTCTTAATCAATTCTGCCATACCAAGTTCACTCATATGCCCAAGACGCATATGCCAGAGATTAGTTTTACTTGGTTCATCTTTAGAAACAGCATCAGCAGTGATGGAACCATGTAAAGTACTTCCTCTAAGAACATATAACTTTGCTGAATTCATATCACCTATCATATGAATGAGAGAACCTTTTGATACCTTACACACTTCACCTGAACCGGAGTGTCTGTATCCCTTGGCATCAAGTGTGCTAAGGGAGATAAGATTTCTGGCCATCCCTGGTATGTGTCTCACATCTTTCAGTGTGCGTATCATGCCATTATGTATCTTGATCTGAACGGAGCCAATGCCCACAATCTCACGTGGATTGTTATCTCCCATACGCACGACATCTCCACTCTGCACAGACTCATAAGAACTGAACCAATCTCTGTTAGAGCATATATGAAACGAGCATGCAGAATCAAGTATCCATTCATCACGACCAGCAACACAACCAACAAAAACAACCAGAACGTCTCCTAAATCAGAAGTATTAATAGCGGAGACAACAGAGGCCTTACCATCACCATCGGATTTGTTTTTTGGTTTATACGTACCATTTCTTTTCTTCTTATTCTGCAGCTTCCAACAATCCTCAGTGACATGAGTATCTTTCTTACAATACATGCAGAACTTATCCCTGCCTCTGGACTTAGAACGGCCTTTACCATTCTTGCTCTTGTCTCGATTATTGTTGTTGTTGTAGGTTTTCTGCTCGGGCCTGCCTCAAACCTGCAACACTTCGCCCTTTGAGGATGACACATCAGACTGAACCATACCTTTCATCTTCTCCCTCGTCTGAAGGGCCTCATATACTTCCGCAAGAGTTAGTTCATCACGGCTTAATAGTATGGTATCTCGAAAATTTGCAAATGAAGTAGGCAGTGAGCATAACAGTAGAAGAGCTAAATCTTCATCATCATATTTTACCTCCATCGACACTAGGTCGGCAACGATCTCCTTAAAGATCGATAAGTGGTTCATCACCGAACCACCTTCTTGCAGCTTGTGTGTGAGCAACTTCATCTTCACGTGCATCTTACTGGTTAGATCCTTGGACATACAGATCAATTCCAGCTTGAGCCAAAGTTCTGCGGTAGTTTTCTCCTACAACACTTCTTGCAAAATATCATTATGTAGATGAAGTTGAATCAGAGACAGAGCCTTACGATCCTTCCGTTTCTCTTCAGCGGTCCATTACTTCTGCCCTTTTCCTCTAAAACCGTCCAGCACCTCATCAAGATCCGAAGATTGTGCCAGAATCGCCCGCATCTTGACTTGCCACAGAGCAAATCTCATCTTGTAATCCAGCAGCGGTAGATCAAACTTCATCGATGCCATCGCGAAAAACCCTAAGGTCAAACCAAGCTCTGGTACCACTTGTTATAAACGATAGGCAATATAAACAATGAAGAACAGTAGATCAAACACAGGAGATACGAGATTTTAACGTGGAAGACCCTCCCAAGGTGGAAGGGAAAAACCACGGGCACTAGCCAGCAAATCTTCACTATATAGGGTGAGGTTACAAACACCGAAGATTTACAACTTGGGGATACCCTAACCTAGTGGCCTTCCTGTATACAAGTCTATGATTCCTATGAGGGAGGTGGTCCGTATATATAGGGAGGAAAAACCCCCACACCCTCGTCTATTAGCAATACGGAACTAATAGATGGTGTAGTCCCTCTTAACGCTAATGGGCCGCTTCGCTTCGGCTCAAGCTTGAATCTGGATCATAGCTCAACATGTGCGTGGATCAGGCTTGGGTTGCCAAGGTAGTCAAGCCCACCCTTGCTGAAGATCTGGGAGCCCGCCTTGAACCACACGGCCTCGCCGAACTTGACGCCGCTATGGCGAGGAGCTCGGGAACACGCACCAAAGCGGCCTTGAAAGCATGGCCCAAAGGGGAGTGGATCACCTCTAGCTCACGGTTCTTGGCGAATGTCTCGGGTCCGCGGACAGCCCCCATGGTGTCCCAGCAGTAGTCGTCGCCGGGAACTCACCGGTCGGGTAGCTTGGGGGCTCACCGGAGAACGGACCCAGTGCATGGGACGCGGTCAGCCCGTGCATTGGGGCTACCAGACGCCACAGTGCTTGGCTTGGCGTGCCACCTTTGCGCATGGTGATGCGGCCTCGCCAAGACGCCCCAGTGCTGGTCTTCGGTCGGCGGTTGCCGATGAGCCACGGAGGTGAGAGCCACGGTGGTGGCGGCCATGTCGATCGAGATCACTTCTTTTTGTGATGCTTTGCTCTATGTTTTCTTACGTGAGTTGGTGTGGTGATTGATGATTGTGTCAAACGCAGCAGCTCCTTTTATATACAGCTTGGATTGGATAGAGAGGCATCTTTTGTCAAGCGTGGATTGGCCGGCCTTGCCGGGAGATGGCTTCAAGATGATGTGGCGCTTTGGTGGGTCCCAAAGTGACCTATCAAACAAGAATCTCGGGAAGTACCACGTTGGAAAGGTCCAGCCAATTAGTAATCGCCACTTAGCACTCGCAAGAGTGGATGAGATAGGCTTAGTAGTTGTTGTCAAAGCTTCATCACGATACTATACTTTTCAAAAGTAACCAAGGAAGGGTTCGTGATTGATCTCAATCCTAACATGTGGCTAAACCAAGATTTTCTCAAAACCCCAATGTAGGCGTGTTTGGGACCGTGGTTGCTTACCGCGCTTCGGTATGCGTATCGTGGCCGTCGCACCACGGCCCTGAAAATGCTGAAGCTAGTTCATTTTTAAGGAGTCGATGACGTATGCGGTGAAGAGAATCGCTGTGTCGTGAGGCATTCGGCGCGATTTTTCTCATCTTTTGACCGCCAATGAAGAAAATGCAGTCCCAAACTATCCCTAGGTCTCTCAACCACTCTCCATCTCCTATTGCCTCCCTGACATGCAGGATCAAGGGCCTATCCTCCTTCTAGATGTACTAGTATTTTTATTAATTTCTTATGGTTGTTTGTTCAGACTGAGCCCCTCTCTTTTGCGTCATTATTGTTCTGTCTCAATCATTGTCGTTACCATCATTGTCCTTTGTGTTGTCATCATCTTTAGGGCGATTGCCTCTGGTAGCAACACGGACACAAGGGCAACAAGATAAAGTCGCCTAGCTCTTTATAGCCGAATTCAACAACCTTCATCACCGCTTTGGATCACGTTGCTGCCCCATAGGATATGGCAACCTACGTTGTTGTTCTAGTGGTCCTAGTTGTGGATCTAGATGTTCTCCTACCACCGATGCTGCGGTTTGCTTTGACCTACCAAAGTTCACTAGAGTTTAACACTAACGTCCTTGCCGCCGCCTAATGAGGACATGACCTCCATAAATACGACCGTGCTTGGAGAATTGCATGGTGGCCGAGGAGATCAGCAAGGGTGTCCAAAACCAGAAGGAGTCTCAAAGCTTATCCAATTCGAGTAGCCAAGGTGGAGGCTCAAATCAAGTTCGAGTACACCTCGAAATCCAGGAGCAGTCTGAGGTTAAATCGACGCCCAGGGTGCATATAGTCTCCGTTTTCGATGATCCATATATGTTTGGAAAGATAGTTTGATAAGCTAACCAAAGGCTTTGGTTTGACATCAAAATTCATTCGGACTGAATGGGAATCGTCGAAACAAGTCAGCATCCAGAATCTGCCACGGTGCCGCGACACCTTATTTTGGTCTGTTGGGCCGTGTATCGTCTTAGAGCCCAATTAGGGGACGTGTCAGGGGATGACGTCCAAGTCTCTATAATTAGCAGCTGTCGCTCCCATTTGGGTTTGTGTTTTGTTTTGTTCTTGTTTTCCTTGTGAAACAGACATTGTTTGCTACAACTGTATCGCCAAGATCGCTTGCTCCAAACCTGTTGCGATTAGTCTTTTCGAATAAAGATTGAACTCCTTTCCAGTATTATAAGCTTCATTTTATTTACAATTTCAGATTGCGTTCATCTCGTTCTTGCTTGAGTTCTCGTGTCACTTGTAGGAAAGCCTTCTCGATGAGGTCAATCACGTTGTGTGTGGTTGATAACCAACAGAGCAGCGGTGTAATGGTTGTGGGAGTCTGATCAGTATTGGTTCGAAGTCTAGATCATGAACGTCGAGTCTCCATCAATTGACGCTATCTTAACTACCCGAAGATTGGGCCTCATCTACATCACCCGCCTGTCATCAAGGTCTGTTTGTTCCTCGCCTCCACGTTCAGGCAGTGGCGGACCCAGCCCAAAAATGGAGGTACGGCGAACCTAGGCTATAAAATTTTGAGTAAAAATGACAACATACATATCAAATTACTCGAAACTCCCTATATTTCTTTTTTTCTACCCTCTCATCCTCTTGCTCATATACTGTCATACTGATATACACTCTAATTTCAACTATAGTTTCATGCCACAATAATTTAACTTATTTGTAAATAAAATGCAATCACATACAGGCTACATCGCTATATAGTTATGATGCAATCTAGGAATTCACTGAAATCTGGACACCACTCCATTCAGGCTCCAATCTAGACACCTTTTTCACTCAGTCAATTCATCAAGCACATAGAGAGCACCATGAAACATGACAGCACCATGAACTCATAGGCTGTCGCTGCCTGCTGGCGTCTTCGGGGCTCGGGGCCTCGGCCGCCCGGGCGCAGCCGCACGGGGCCACCCGCCGATGCTCGCTCTTCGCTGGCCGCCGGTGTAGACAGGGAGGCAGGTAGCGCCGCCGCCGCGCCGCCAGTTGGAGCGGCGCCGCCGAGCCCGAGCGCGGAGCGCGTTCCGTCTGCCTCTAGTGTGTGCGGTGCTTAGAAGTTAGACTTAAGGGCCAAAATGGGCCAGAAAATGCGCCATTCCTTAGACGGCAAGACGGCCCAGGCGCCCAGCAGGGCTGCACCTTCTTCAACCTCTCCGCTCGGCGGCTCCTGTCATCGCCGCATCGGACCTGCGCTCGCACTTCGACTTCGATGGACGCCGTCGCCGGCCAGAGAACAGGGGGTACTAGTGGTGCTCGCCGGAGGGGACCTAGGGCGGCCACCCAAGCTCGCCCTATAGGTCGGTCCGCCTCGGCGTTCAGGTCCAACATCGCTGGTGAGGCCCCTCCGCCCCAGTGTCTCGTAGCCACTAGCTAGGCTGGCTAGGATACGACCCATGCTCTCTGCCGTTTGTGCCATGGTCATTGATTCTTTACTTGCTATGTACTCTATTATTTGTGTTTTGGCTCAGCTCCATTGGCTCTTGCAGTGTGCAAATGTTTTATTTTTAGGACACCCAAAGTCACTTAATAGCAAAAAATCAAAGTATTGTTCTTTTTCATGTGAAGCTTCGGTTCCTCTAATTAGTACCTCTCGTCTAGTGTAGGCTATGTGCAAATGTTCCCGGTGAGTAGAGGTCGAGCTATAGGTCTAGCACGTGTTGAGTGCACATCTTTATTGTACTCTTAAATAAAAGGAACTAAGGGACTATTTGAATACCAACAACTAATAGTTAGTTCCAAAAAAAATACTGGAGTGGATTCAAACTGGCCTGACTAATATATAGGACAACTAACTATTACGTGGATGCCTAGCTAATGGTTATTTAATTTCATTAGCTGGCCAAACCCACCTTGTAAATAGATTGTCAAAAGACTTTTTTCCACACACAAATCATATCACCTCTTTCTATACGCATCCCCTCTAAACAAGATAAATGCAATGGTATCTTAGACCATTACAACATTGCAACCACCTATTAGCTTGGGATCAAAACAGCCCAGCTAACAGCTAACCAACTAATATGAGTTGTGAGAGATTAGCTAGCTAGCATTAAATGGCATTTTCGGTTTAGGACTAAGTGCATTTCCTCACATGTTTATAAGACATTGTTTAGTTTTTCTAAAAATTCATCGAAAGTTTTTCCATAAATAGAGAAATTGTCCATGAACACTTCCAATGAAGAAATCATCCATGACCTTTTCCATGATTTCTTCGATCAAATCGGAGAATATAGACATCATGCACCCTTTGGAATAAAGCTAGAGCATTGCATATTTCAAACGACATTCTTCGGTCTACATAAGTTCCATAAAGGCATGTGAAGGTGGTCTTACTTTGATCATCAGGATGAATGGGAATTTGATGATAAGCAGAATACTCATCAAGGAAACAAAAGAAAGAGTTATTTTCCGGTTGTTCCAGCATTTCATTAGGGAAGGGCAGAGGGTTTGCTGCCTTGTCAAGTTTTGTGTAATCTATGCATATTTCCATCCTGTAACGGTTCGTTGTGGAACTGATTCTTTTCATTTTGAACACACATCATGCCTCCCTTCTTTGTCACAACTTGAATCGGGCTAACCCGCTCACTATTAGGCACATGATAATAGGAGTTTCTAGACTCTTATTTTAACGACCTCTCTCATCGTATTATTTTGCCTTCTTTGCGGCTCCCTAGAAATATTGCAAATGCATAGGATCAGATATGACAAGATCGTGGCAAAAATTAGAAAGATATGTAAGACGGATCCATGCCGCACATAGACACTACTACATAAAATATTTTCAATGCTATTTTCACCGTTGGTTCTATTAAAATCGGTGGTCTATGAACGGACGCTGATGATGGTTTTCACTGGTGATTTGTGGTTTGAACTAGCGGTGAAGAGCAGGATGGTTTTCACCGCCAGTTGAAGCCACAAACCTATGGTCAAAACCTGCCCAAGTATATATGCCAAACCCTAACACACCCATGCACTCCCTCAATCGGCCGCAACCTCACTCCCACTATGTCACCCACACCTTCCTGCCTGCCCCTACCCACGCCCCTCCTCCTTCCCCACCTCCATTGCCACCGACCGCTCCTCCCTCCCCGTCCATGCTCCTCCTTCTCATCGTTGTCGTTTGTCGACGTCCACGCCGCTCCTCCTCCCCGTCCACGACTGGGGACCAACATGGATGGTGATGGGTGCACACACATCTTTTTTATTTTTTTATTCGATTTTCACTGTCGGTCCCAAGCCAACGGTGATGAAAATCCTCATCACTGTCCATTTTCATCGTCGTTGACCAAAACCAGTGGTGACGGGATGTTGGAGCCCGACATCGATGAAGTTATTGTAGTAGTGAGAATTCTTTTCTTTTTGTCGAAAGCTGAGAACCTCCATATGAAGATGAACTGCTTGGGAGATAGCAAAGAAGTATAGATAGAACTTGGTTTATAATTCTTTCGAACCGAGGCACCGTATAACATTATATTGCTACCAGCGCACCCTGACTTCACTCTATCTTCACAAACATTTTTCTAGTACCTATAGTGCATCATCTTGACTACAAGACAGAAGGTGTATGTTGAGAGCTTTATCCCACAGAGAAATCGAGACTATACACAAGTGGTGAACCAATTAATTTGTGGGACTACAAGCGGTTGGCACATGCAGGGGACATGGCTCCTCTGTCAAGGAGGCTCGCCCCTCTGTCCCAAAAAAACAACCAAACTTTTGAAGTGATATAAACACACTCCCTGTAGAGATACTCGACACTAAACGCATGCGCTATGAAAATGCAATAACACTAGCTCATTTGTAGGTTCTGTTTGGCAGAGGTCCTCCTGCTCCGGATTCTCGGCATAAGTTGATTCTTTGTGAAGAAGTGATTCTCTGACTGAAATTGATTATGTAGTATAAACTATGCATACAATGATTTTGTACGTGGAGTGAATCAGGAGAAGCTACTTTTTCAGCTCCCAGCCCCCTAGTTCATTTCAGAGAGTTGCTTTAGAGATCCAGGCGGAGAATCTCTCCCCTCCGTAGTTCCTTTCAAAAAAAAAAGAGAGAGCTTCACACAAACAACAAAAAAATCATTTTTCGGTAAAAACTGTTGGGTAGAGTTTCTCCTGGGTTTAGACTAAAAGCTACTCAAACAAATCCATACGCGATCATTCCTCCTTGTCTCCATCTGTACAAATGTAGGATACCACCAAATACAAGCACGAACGCTCGTTGGTATGCATAATCCCAAATAATTGAATGCTTAACACATTAAACTAAGTGTATTATACAAAATATAAACTCAGTTGCCATGGACCCTCTCATGGCAATGTACACCCCACCATGCGCTAGAATGCTCCGATAGTAAAATGGACGACGCACGCCTGCGGCCTGCCGCTCACTTGCCGGGGACAAAGTTGGTGGCATAGGCCCAGGCGTTGTTGTTGACGGGGTCGGCCAAGTGGTCAGCGAGGTTCTCGAGAGGACCCTTGCCGGTGACGATCGCCTGCACGAAGAAGCCGAACATGGAGAACATGGCGAGGCGGCCGTTCTTGACCTCCTTCACCTTCAGCTCCGCGAACGCCTCCGGGTCGTCGGCGAGCCCGAGTGGGTCGAAGCTGCCGCCAGGGTACAGCGGGTCGACCACCTCCCCGAGCGGGCCACCGGCGATGCGGTACCCCTCGACGGCGCCCATGAGCACCACCTGGCACGCCCAGATGGCCAGGATGCTCTGTGCGTGGATCAGGCTTGGGTTGCCGAGGTAGTCAAGCCCACCCTCGCTGAAGATCTGGGAGCCCGCCTTGAACCACACGGCCTCGCCGAACTTGACGCCGTTGCGAGCGAGGAGCTCCGGGGACACGCACCCGAGCGCGCCGAGCATGGCCCAGCGGGAGTGGATCACCTCTAGCTCGCGGTTCTTGGCGAAGGTCTCGGGGTCCGCGGACAGCCCCGCGGTGTCCCAGCCGTAGTCGCCGGTGAACTCGCCGGTCAGGTAGCTTGGGGGCTCACCGGAGAACGGACCCAGGTACAGGACGCGGTCGGCCCCGTACCAGGGGCTGCCGGACGCCGCTGGCTTGGGCTTGGCAGCAGCCTTGCGCATGGTGATGCGGCCCTCGCCGAAGACGTCCCTGGTGCTGGTCGCCGGCTTGCCGACGAGCGCACGGGAGATGAGAGCCATGGTGGCGGCGGCCATGTCGATCAGATCACTTCTTTTTGTGATGCTTTGCTCTGTGTTTTCTGTGAGTTGGTGTGGTGACTGGTGATTGTGTCAAACGCAGCAGCTCCTTTTATACAGTTGGTTTGGATAGAGAGGCATCTTTTGCTGGGCAGGGATTGGCCGGGCCTTGCTGGGAGATGGCTTCGAAGATGATGTGGCGCTTTGGTGGGTCCCAGTGACCTATCACACAAGAATCCTGGGAAGTACCACGTAGGAAAGGTCCAGCCCAATTAGTAACTGCCACTTAGCACTGCAAAGAGTGGATGGGATAGGCTTAGTAGTTGCTGTCAGGTGCTTCTCGCTGATACTATACTTTTCAAAAGTAACCAAGGAAGGGTTCGTGATTGATCTCAATCCTAACGTGTGGCTAAACCAAGATCTTCTCAAAACCCCCATGTAGGCGTGTTTGTGAATTGGGACCGTGGTTGCTTACCACGCGGTGCGGTATGCGTATCGTGGCCGTCGCACCACGACAGTGAAAATGCTGAAGCTAGTTCATTTTTGCGGAGTCGATGACGTATGCGGTGAAGAGAATGGCTGTGTCGTGAGGCATTCGGCACGATTTTTCTCATCTTTTGAGCGCCAACGAAGAAAATGCAGTCCCAAACACGCCCTGGGTCTCTCAACCACTCTCCATCTCCTATTGCCTCGCGGACATGCAGGATCAAGGCCCTATCCTCCTTCTAGATCTACTAGTTTTTTTTATTAATTTCTTATGGTTGTATGTTCAGACTGAGCCCCTCTCTTTTGCGTCGTTATTGTTCTGTCTCAATCGTTGTCGTTACCATCGTTGTCCTTTGTGTTGTCATCATCTTTAGGGCGATTGCCTCTGGTAGCAACACGGACACAAGGGCAACAAGATAAAGTCGCCTAGTTCTTTACTGCCCAATTCAACCACCTTCATCACCGCTTTGGATCACGTTGATGCCCCATTGGATATGGCAACCTACGTTGTTGTTCTACTGGTCCTAGTTGTGGATCTAGATGTTCTCCTACCACCGATGCTGCGGTTTGCTTTGACCTACCAAAGTTCACTAGAGTTTAACACTAACGTCCTTGCCGCCGCCTGACGAGGACATGACCTCCATAAATACGACCATGCTTGGAGAATTGCATGGAGGCCAAGGAGATCAGCAAGGGTGTCCAAAACCATATGGAGTCTCAAAGCTTATCCAATTCGAGTAGCTAAGGTGGAGGCTCAAATCAAGTTCGAGTACACCTCGAAATCCAGGAGCAGTCTGAGGTTAAATTGACGCCCATGGTGCATACGGTCTCTGTTTTCGATGATCCATATATGCTTGGAAAGATAATTTGATAAGCTAACCAATGACTTTGGTTTGACGTCAAAATTCATCCGGACTGAACGGGAATTGTCAAAACAAGTCAGCATCCAGAATCTGTCACGGTGCTGCGACACCGTATTTTGGTCTGTTGGGCCGTGTATCGTCTTAGAGCCCAATTAGGGGACGCGTCAGGGGGTGACGTCCAAGTCTCTATAATTACCAGCCGTCGCTCCCATTTGAGTTTGTGATTTGTTGCGTTCTTATTTTCCTTGTGAAACAGACATTGTTTGCTACAACTGTATCGCCAAGATCGCTTGCTCCGAACCTGTTGCGATTAGTCTTTTCGAATAAAGATTGAACTCCTTTCCAGTATTATAAGCTTCATTTTATTTGTAATTTTAGATTGCATTCATCTCGTTCTTACTTGAGTTCTCGTTTCACTTGCAGGAAAGCCTTCTCGGTGAGGTCAATCACGTTGTGTGTGGTTGATAACCAATAGAGCAGCGGTGTAATGGTTGTGGGAGTCTGATTAGTATTGGTTCGAAGTCTAGATCGTGAACGTCGAGTATCCATCAATTGACGCTATCTTAACTACCCGAAGATTGGGCCTCATCTACATCACCCGCCTGTCATCAAGGTCTGTTTGTTCCTCGCCTCCACGTTCAGGCAGTGGCGGACCCAGCCCAAAAATGGAGGTACGGTGAACCTAGGCTATAAAATTTTGACTAAAAATGACAACATACATATCAAATTACTCGAAACTCCCTATATTTCTTTTTTCTACCCTCTCATCCTCTTGCTGATATACTGTCATACTGATATACACTCTAATTTCAACTATAGTTTCATGCCACAATAATTTAACTTATTTGTAAATAAAATGCAATCACATACAGGCTACATTGCTATACAGTTATGATGCAATCTAGGAATTCACTGAAATCTGGACACCACTCCATTCAGGCTCCAATCTAGACACCTTTTTCACTCAGTCAATTCATCAAGCACCTAGAGAGCACCATGAAACATGACATCACCATGAACTTACAAGCTGCCGCTGCCTGCTGGCGTCTTCGGGGCTCGGGGCCTCGGCCGCCCGGGCGCAGCCACGCGGGGCCACCCGCCGCTGCTCGCTCTTCGCTGGCCGCCGGTGTAGACAAGGAGGCAGGGAGCGGCGCCGTCGAGCCCGAGCGCGGAGCGCGTTCCCTCTGCCTCTAGTGTGTGCGGTGCTTAGAAGTTAGACTTAAGGGCCAAAATGGGCCAGAAAATGCGCCATTCCTTAGACGGCAAGACGGCCCAGGCGCCCAGCAGGGCTGCACCTTCTTCAACCTCTCCGCTCGGCGGCTCCTATCATCGCCGCATTGGACCTGCGCTCCCACTTCGACTTCGATGGACGCCGTCGCCGGCCAGAGAACAGGGGGTACTAGTGGTGCTCACCGGAGGGGACCTAGGGCGGCCGCCCAAGCTCGCCCTATAGGTCGGTCCGCCTCGGCGTTCAGGTCCAACATCGCTGGTGAGGCCCCTCCGCCCCAGTGTCTCGTAGCCACTAGATAGGCTGGCTAGGATACGACCCATGCTCTCTGCCGGTGGTGCCATGGTCATTGATTCTTTACTTGCTATGTACTCTTTATTTGTGTTTTGGTGCAGCTGCATTGGCTCTTGCAGTGTGCAAATGTTTTATTTTTAGGACCCCCAAAGTCACTTAACAGCTAAAAATCAAAATATTGTTCTTTTTCATGTGAAGCTTCGGTTCCTCTAATTAGTACCTCTCGTCTAGTGTAGGCTATGTGCAAATGTTCCCGATGAGTTGAGGTCGAGCACGTGTTGAGTGCGCATCTTTATTGTACTCTTAAATAAAAGGAACTAAGGGACTATTTGAATACCAACAACTAATAGGCCCCGTTCAGCTGGTCAGAATTCGTGGCTGGTTCGGCTGAAGCTGAATGGGCCTTCCAGCCCAGCCGTGTAGCTGCCCTCTCCAGCCGTTCGGCTGCACTAGAAACATCAGCTCGCGCCCTCCTCACTCTCCCCCTCTCGCATTCGCTCGCGTGGGTTTAGGGTTCGGCTGCTCTCACCTATTGCTCCCGCCGTCGACGCGGTGAGTTCTTCGCTCGCACGCCCATTCCCGCTTCGCCGCCCACCCGCCCGCCGTCCTTCTCCCGTCCCCCGCCCCCCTCCCCCCTGCCGGAGACGGAAGGCGCTATCCACCTGGCCCGTGTCGCCGGATTCGGTGCGGCCTTGCCCTACCAGATCTATCGCGTCGTCCTCGCCGTGTTGCCGGACAGATCCAGCCCCTATGTCGGCTATGGACTCACCTCCAACCACTTCGGTAGGTACCAGACTTCCCCCTCCTTTTTCATTTGTTCGTGACGATCCGTTTGGTTAGGGTTGATGATTTCCCGCACCCCTAATCCTACTTCGTTTTTAGGTGAATCCACCGGCAAGCTCGTTGACACCACGGTTGCTTCAACGTGCTGCCGATTCCTCTATCTCCTTCCATTTTCATATCTGACTTGCAGTCGCTGCCGTTGTAGCCACCGGATCCGTCACCTTTACCTATTTCCTCGTTCCTTGCAGCGCCAGATCCGGTACGTAGGCGACTATCTCATCCCCTTTTTGAACACACTTGTAGTTCCAGTTGAGAAGGGTTAGGGTTCGTTACTCTCGTTCGCCATACAACACATTTACACACTCATTTATATACATTGCACAAGCTCTGTTCTTTACTTGACTGCATATACATTACATCCGTCTTTTTCTATCCCATTTTTGCTACACACTTCCAGATCCGCTTCGTTAGGGTTGAAGTTCTTGCTCCCAAGTGTGGATGCCTAAGTAGAGCCGGATTGTTAGGGTCACATAGTCCTTGCACATCCGTTGCATTGAGGGTTAGCATAAACTCCATTAGTTTTTACTGTTTTTATTTAGACTTGGCTCCCCTAGTTTCTCATGTATTCCAATGTTGGATGGGTTGTATGCCTGTAAATATGCCAATTCAGCTTATGGCTTATGAATAATGCATCAATGAATGATTCACATGGTCCTCGGATTGTTTCAAATTTCTTATTGTTCGTCACATTACTAAATTTTAGGGTGATTCGATGCTGCTTGTGATGTGACTATAGTTGGTTCATTGCGTTGATGAAATGCATTTTAATTTCAGTAATTAGGCTACTTATTTTATTACTCCTATAATCTGTTGTTAGTCCAGTTCACACACAGTTTGTATTTTGAATTTAGACAATGAGGCGGGATTACTTTGGTTCATGTAAAGCTCTAACAGATTCGCATGTTTATCACGTAGTTGTGCTCTTTCAAAGTCTATATACTGGCACCATCGTCAACAACTTCCTACTCCCTGTCGGAAGCCCATCGGTACAACTTGCGTTCCAAGCGTGTGAAGTGAGAAATCTAGGCAAGTACACAATTCTGTCCATTGCATCGTATTTTAGTTCGCCCGTGCATTCCTTTAGTTTTTTTGCGGTACCATTACTATGTCCAGCCACAAACGACAATAGCCCTTCCACGTTCAAACAGATGCCTCCAAAGCGTGCAAGTTGGACCGAGGATGAAACCAAGCTGTTGCTGGACCTTTGTCTTCAAGAGAAGGAGAAGTTTAACTTCAATCAGCAGGGTCTCACCATGGCTGGGTGGAACAATATTTACACTAACTTCCCCCATTGTGATAAGAAA